GACATTTGGGCCCTTGTGTACGGGAGCGAATGGAAGGCTGTCCGGGAGCACGCCGTCAACCTGTTGAGCGAATGGCATATCGGTGCCCCTCACAAGTGGCCACTTCAGGTGTTGCTCGACGTATGGGAAGAGCTGCACTGGAGGTTCTTGGAAGAGCTCAAAGAGGAGTTGAGGAAGATTAAGAGGCTGGCCGGAAGAGAGTCGATGACTTTGAGCGACCTCAAGTTCTATGCCCTTATGCCGGACGAGGAGGGCAGGGCTCCCCTTGAACTGCCTCAAACCTTTGACCTTCGGAGGCCGGATGGATGGTTCATGTCGGAGGTCATGCCCCGGATTGAGCGCCGCCAGGAGAGGATGCTTTGGAAGATGACATGGGAAGGAGCTGGAAAGGCTCGAGCTCAAGGACAACCTGCAGGTGGAGATGGGGGCCATCGGGAAGAGAAGCTCACTTTGAAGGCTTTGTACGGCCCAAAGCTCACGGCAGAAGAGACGGCAAGAGCTAAGGATCGAGCACCGACCAACAAGGAGGGAAAGCTCCTATGCTGGGGGTATCTGACCCATCTGGGCTGCTCTCAGCAAGGTTGTCAAAGAGCTTATGAACCTCTCAGGGGACCGTTTGAGTCCCTCGACCCGGCGGTTCAGCTTCAGATGGTGCGAAGGGGAGGACTCAAGCGCATGAAGGCCGAGACCAAAGAAACAGCTGCAGAAAAGATCAAGGAGATCAGAGCTGGGGTAGCCAAAGATAAGGCTTCGAAGGTCCAAGATGGGAAGGATAGACGTCGAGCGGGACATGGGGACCAGCCTCAGGGTGAAGCTGAAGGGCACGAGAAGGCGGGCGGTCATCATGGAGTTCGATGGGAGGCACCGGAAGAGATGGTGCAGGTCGACTACACCCACCAGGAGAAGGAGTTTGCCGATTTGGTGGCGGGCCCCGACCCCTCCATTTACGAGAATGTGCCCAGGGAGTCACAACCTCATCCTGGACGTGAAGGGGAGACGGCGCCCAGAGAAGCGCAAGACCTCGTGAGGAAAGCTCAAGCCCTAGCAGACGGGCCCGTACTCAGCAAGCTGCAGGAAGCATCGGATGACCTCTATGCTTGGGCGTCTACGAGGGTGGCAAACGATCCAGAGATCCCGTTTGAGACGCTGATGGAGGAGATGGTGCAGTTTGGGTTGGGCGAATTGGCGGCCGAGGCGGCATACCTCTTGGAGACCCACGGAGGAGGGCCAAAGGCTGGGAATCAGGCTCGATGCCGGGTCGGAGATACCCGTTGGGAGGCGGACGGGCCGGGCAAAGCGCTGGTTGAGATTGATGAGGAATCATGGGCGATGTGGGACTTTGGGGAGATGGTCTACATGACGGAGGAGCTGGCGGGCCTGTTAGGGGTGATCGAACCAGAGAAGGAGAAGAGGCAATGCGTCACCAAGGTCTTTGCCGCTGGCCTCCTCATGGCTCAGACGAAGAAGGTCCCTGGAATGGAGGAGGTCGAGAAGTTGACCCAGGAGTTTCGTTTGGAGCAGGCACGTTTGGCGGTTGAGGCAGAAGGTGTCATGAGTCACCCCGAAGCGAAGGTGGCCCCGGTGGAGCATGAACTGCGCATGTACGCCCACGACATCCTAAAGCCCCACCACGACAAGGACTACCGAGCGTTGGCAGTCTTCCCTCTGGCAGCTTTGGAGGAGGTCAGGATCATTGTGGTCCGAGTTGACTACGAGGGCGATATCCTCCTGGAAACAGTTGTGGGCAGTCAGTGGACCCAGCAGGACGTATGGGTCATGATCTCCAAAGGGCACATGACTTTGCTACAACCACCCTCCAGCGCGGCTGAGGAAAACTTGTTGCGCAAAGAGGAGGTGTATCACACCCCATGCCTTGGGTTCAGATACTTCTGGCATCAGCGCCATGACCAGGCCAAGACCGCCCCTGGCATCATCGCGTGCAGGCATTGCAAGACAAGATAAGGAGGCGGCGGGAATGAGCCCGATGCGTATGGATGTCTCCGAAAGACGACATGTCTCCCAGCTCTGTCGCAGGTCATGGCAGGAGGTGGCCACACGATGAAGACCGTCCATGGAGCACGAGGACATGCAGGCTTGGTGCTGAGGGAGTACTTCGCGGGGCATGGGGTCATCACGAAGGGTTGGACGGATGCCGGGATGGTCGCTCTTGAACCCATCGAGCTTTACGACCAACCACATCAGCAACTCGGCCTACGGCCAGATCATGACTTAGCCCAAGCGGACCGCCAGAAGTTCTACCTGGACAAGCTCAAGGAACAGGAGTCCAACGTGCAGTGGATTGCGAGCCCGTGCACCACCTTCTGTGACTGGTGCCTCCAGAATGGAGGAACAAGGACATTTCAGAACCCAGCTGGCCTGCCTACAGAGAAGGAGAAGATTGGGAATATCCTCTCGGAGTACGGGGCGAAGGTGTTTGAGAAGTCCATGCAGCAAGGACCCTGGCCTCCCTTTGCCTGTGGTGTGCGGCGTCGTGCTGGGCGATGTGGCTTTTCAGCGTCGTGGGTGGCGTATCCTGGTCGTGGGTGGCGTATCCTGGTCGTTGCCTGCCGTTTCCTGGTCGTTGGTGGCGTTTCCTGGTCGTTGCCCGGCTTTTCCTGGTCATTGCCCGGCTTTTCCTGGTCGTTGCCTGGTTTTTCCTGGTCGTTGCCTGGTTTCCCTTGGTCTTTGCTGGGCGTTTTGTTCATTTCCCTGGTTCTTCCTGGTCTGCGCCCGCCGTTTCCTGGTCATTGCTTGCCGTTTCCTGGTCGTTGCCCGGCTTTTCCTGGTCGTTGCCTGGCTTTTCCTGGTCGTTGCCCGGCTTTTCCTGGTCGTTGGCCGGTTTTTCCTGGTCGTTGCCTGGTTTGCCCTGGTCTTTGCTGGGCGTTTTGTTCATTTCCCTGGTTCTTCCGGGTCTGCACCCGCCGTTTCCTGGTCATTGCCTGCCGTTTCCTGGTCGTTGCCCGGCTTTTCCTGGTCGTTGCCCGGCTTTTCCTGGTCGTTGGCCGGTTTTTCCTGGTCGTTGCCCGGCTTTTCCTTTTCCTTGCCTTTGCCTTCTGCTTTTCCTTTTCCTTTTGCCTTTGCCTTTTCCTTTTCCTTTCTTTTTCCTTTCCTTTTCCTTGCCTTTGCCTTTGCCTTTTCCTTTCTTTTTCCTTGTCCTTTTGCCTTTTCCCTTTCCTTTTCAACTCTTTTTCCTTTCCTTTTCCCTGTCCTTGCCTTTCATTGGCCTTTTCCTTTTCCTTTTGCCTTTGCCTTTTCCTTGTCCTTGTCCTTTTCCTTTCTTTTCCCTGGTTCTTCCTGGTCGGCGCCCGCCGTTTCCTGGTCATTGCCCGGCTTTTCCTGGTCGTTGCCCGGCTTTTCCTGGTCGTAGCCCGGTTTTTCCTGGTCGTAGCCCGGTTTTTCCTGGTCGTTGCCCGGCTTTTCCTTTTCCTTTTCCTTGCATTGCCTTTGGCTTGTCCTTTCCCTTTTCCTTTTCCTTTTGCCTTTTCCTTTTACTTTTCCTTTTCCTTTTCCTTTCTTTTTCCTTTCCTTTTCCTTGCCTCTGCCTTTTCCTTTTCCTTTTGCCTTTGCCTTTTCCTTTTCCTTTCTTTTTCCTTTCCTTTTCCTTGTCCTTTGCCTTTCATTGGCCTTTTCCTTTTGCCTTTGCCTTTGCCTTTTCCTTTTCTTTTCTTTTTCCTTTCCTTTTCCTTGCCTTTGCCTTTTCCTTTTCCTTTTCCTTTTGCCTTTTCCCTTTTCCTTTCCTTTTCCTTGTCCTTGCCTTTCATTGGCCTTTTCCTTTTGCCTTTGCCTTTTCCTTTTCCTTTCTTTTTCCTTTCCTTTTCCTTGCCTTTGCCTTGTCCTTTTCCTTTTGCCTTTTCCTTTTCCTTTCTTTGCCCTTGCCTTTCCCTGCCCTTTGCAGGCCATCGTGCAGGGGGGCACCAACACTTATTTATTATGCCTGGCGCCTTTCCCCCGCCCTTTGTCTGTGGTATGCGGCGTCGTTCTGGACGATGCTTGCCTTTCCCTAGCTCTTTTTTTGTGCCTGCCAGTGTTTTGACAGAAATTTTCCAAATTTCCTTGAGCCAGGGCAGAATTATGTAAGCACAAAAACGGACCAGGGAGGATTCGAACCTCCATCTCTGCACTCACCCTGCCAGCCATGCACTTGAATTCTATTCCCTGGCAGTAAGCGAGGCAACGCCTTTCCCATTAGGCAACTGGTCCTCTGTGCTTTGAATTTTCCTGCCTGGAATCCCTTCCGAGCGCCCTTTATTCAAAGGATTCTGTAGCGGCAGCGGTAGCAAAACGAAGGGCTCAAACAAACAAACCAAGTCGATCCTATCAAGACCTCTGCGGTCTGGCTTCAAAAAAGGGGCCCCTGAGCATGAACAGCCACCGGTAGGAAAAGTGGCATCTTTACATGGAAGCTCGATGCGTGTGTTGCAGATTCTTAACAAGAGCTAGGGGAAAGAGCAACAGACAGGCTAGCCAACCAAAAGACACAAGGGCATGCAAGCAACCCCCACAAAAGCTGCAAAACAAGAACGACTGCGCAAAACACAAAAAAAGGATAGGCAAGCAAACAAAAAGAGCAAGAAAAGGGAAAGGCAAGCAGCAAGCAAAAAGAAGACAAGGAAAATGCACACAAGCAGACAAAGGCTAAAGAGCACAAACAAGCCACCCAACATTGCACAGAGGCACACATAATCTACACATGTCCTAAAACACATATATAGACATTGTATTTTTGGCACAATGTGATAAACTGTTTTCTTGGCATTTTTGTCATTGCTGTCAATGCAAAACTCAAACGACTGAAACGTTTTACTTGCTGTGATTGTGCTGTGCATTGAGCATTGTTCAACACCCAAGTATTGGCAATGCATGTACATATTTTGCATGCGTCCTAAAACGTACCTATGTATACACACTGTGTTTGGCACATGCGACCAGCTGTGATGTGAACAGATTTTGTCTTGTGCTGTGCGCTTTCCAATTGAGCAGTGTCAAGAACCATCCAGGAATTTAACTAAGATTAAACCTTTCGCCAATCCCTTCGCAACACTTTCGCAACCTCTTTCACCAACCCTTTCACTGTGTTTCTGCTACTTGCATCTAATAGTGATGGCATGGCCTCCAACCTAGTAACGATGACCTCCAACCTAGTAGCGATGGCCTCCAACCTAGTAGCACACCTCATCAATCAGATCATTCCTAATCTGCAACCACTGCTTTCTTTCACCGCATCTTCGCGAACCTTTCGCCTGGATATCAGGACTCTTTGGGTGACATGCTTTGTACTCAGACCCTTCAAGGATCTCTTTTGATAAGGCTGCGAAGACTGCCTGGGGTGAGTTCAAACACAGCTGGTTGAAATGCAACCGCATCAGTTGTTTTGTTCACAGCTATCCTTCAAGTCCCATTCATCAAAAACTCTTTCGCCAAGCCTTTCGCAATATAATCCATTCATCAAAAATGCAGAGCATTTCTCCAAACCGCAAGCTTTAATTTGCCACCCTGCAGTTGTTCAAATCGCAAAGATTCATAATCTTAAGTTCTACCTAATATAAACTCCTGCATAGAGGTTTATGGCATATTGCTCAATCTGTTTCTTGTGCTGTGTGCTGTGTGCTTTTTTTGGGGGGCGGGCCGTGCGCAGCAGTTTCACCAAGACGGCCAGGGAATCCACCGCAGGTTGAGTCCCAAGATATGTAATTTTGAATTTGCCATTTCAAGTCCAAACATGGTCCAAACATGGTCAAACAATTGGTCCAACAATGGTCCAAACATGGTCAAACAAGGGCCCAACAATGGTCCAAACACAGTCCAAACACCGTCCAAACACAGTACTACCTGTGACCTGTACAATGGTGCTGCAATGGGTTTGCTGCAAAAGAAGGCGCCTACGTGATCGACGGCGTGTGGTTGAAATGGAGCAGGCATTAGCTCTTCCTGCAGGTCGCTCCAGGGATCGTCCAATTCTTCCTGTAGGGCCGAAGTTTCCACCATTGCCTGAGGAATGTCCAGCTAAGTGGGAGCGTTGGAGTCCAGAATGGTTCACAAACTGGATGATCCAGAGGATCAACAATCGGATGATGAAAAGAAGAGAAACAATTACCCAGGAGGAAAGAGAAAAGTATCTCACAAGAAGGATGGTGCTTGAGAACCGTTTGTGTCATGTGCTGGGTTGCAATGATGAGGATGAGAGAGTGAAGGTTCATTTGTGCAACAAGCGGATGTTAGACCTTACTCCTGACAGCACCAGTACAGTTGATCCAGATATGGCCCACAATATAGCCAGGGAGGCAACATCGGATGACAATCTGACCGAAGATGACGGGTATTTTGATCCTGGCCGTGTACCTGGTCGAGACAGAGGTGTGAGCAGCAGTGCTTATGATAGTGGTGGTCATGATGATCATGATGGGGAAACAACACCAGCTCGAGTTCGCCGCTACATTATGTCAAGTCGTTCCGAGGTGTCGGATGAAGAGTTTTGGTGCTATTGGCATGAGACGAGTAATGAGGAGGACTGACCAACACCTTGCCCTGGCACAGTTGCAACCGTGCCTCAACTGAGGCATGGTTTCGAAATTTGGCTGTGAGGACACTGTGCAAAAAATCGCCTTTGCTGTTAATGAATGAGAAATTCAATTGAGTTTTTGACTGATTGCACAAACCAGCAAATGACTCACCTGTGCAGCAGTTTCACCCATATATATATATATATAGGCATTGCGCACACACAGAGTCACGAACCAACAAAACTTTATGCACTATAGATCCCTTGCAGGGTGACGGTGAGACGGCCGTGCAGCCAACGCGCAACAATAGGAGAAAGTGCACTGATCACAGCTTTCATCAGAAGTTTCAAGTCCAAAAACCGATCTATTGGGAAACACATGGTCCTTTTGTTTACATTTCACCTACTGGCCGCGGGGCACTTCATGCATGGAGCGTGCGCGGTTTCGACGCCAGGGCCCTAATCAAATGTATCATGTATGGACAGAACATGGTGGAAAACTACGCATGAAAAACCGTGCTTCAAAACGCAACGCAGGGAAAAACACCATGTTCACTTGCCCTTGCACAGCTCAGCACCCCTCTCAGGTCGACGACAGCATCAAGCAAGACAAGGCGCCTCAGAGAGACTCACACAGGAAACAGGCCTGAACGTTGTCCTTGCATGAATCGAACTCTGAACAGGTGTTGGGCTCACGATTCAAACAGGAAAGGCAGTTCAAACAGGTGTATGCCTCTTTCAATCTAATTTGCATTGTAAGCAAAGTGGAGCCCATTAATTCCACAGTCGATCAACAAACCACAGTTTCTGGGTTGTGCACTGGCTCCTGCATGAGCTTGCCATGGATGATGAAGAGGGCAAACGCCTCAGATGGATGGAGCGGCGCTGCAACCAAGAAATTGTTCAAAGCATTCTAGTACTCCTGGCCAAATTGACTTTCACGACCATTGCGCATATGGTGATGCCTTCTATGAGCGATGGCCAACCTACTAGTTACTAGTGAAAGCAGTGAAATTGAGCTCCCCTGCACTCCAAACAAGCTCTGGACGCCAGGACTTCCTGCATGAGGTGTGCACTCCGGCCTTTTTGAAGACCTTCCATGACTCTGTGAGGAAAAAGAAGGCCAAACACTTTTTCATGTGAATTTTTGAAAATCTACAGTTCTCCGCAAAAGCTGTGTTTGCTTTTTGAGTTTGCATCCTATTGCTTGGACTAACCTGGGTCCAGGCCAAAGGTGAAGAGTTCTACTTTACCTTGAGATTGGACGACCCCGACAATGCAGTCTCAGTGGTTGAGCAGGTGATTGTTTTGGTACTTTTGTACTGTTTTGAAACCAGCCTTCTGGAGGCCAATCTGAACCACAGCTTTCTTAAGCCGTGGTTCGAATGCTTTGGACGGGCAAGTCCGACTGTGAACGAGATCAAGATTGCCATTTTAGAGTTGAACGAGTCAATGAAGGCCACTCTACCTTTCATGCCATTTAGTACGCTTTTGGTATTGTCCTAGTCTTCCGGTTTGCTGCAATCCAATATCGGAGGGTCCTTTGCAAACTCTTGGTGAAGGTTCTTGCTGGGCCCACCATCAAAGATCTGAAGGCAGGGCCCTCATGATCACTAGCTTAGCTTTCCAAGTTGCACACCATATTGCACCCAACATGCCAGACTGAAGCGAACAAGTGTGCGATAGACTGGCGAGCGCTGGTCTCTGATGTTCTCACTCTGGAACGCCGGAGCGCAGGATCAAGGCATCTAGATTTGTTTGTTGTTCTGGTGCAATGTGCAATTTGGCTGTTCTTATCCACTGTTAGTTGTTCCTGGGAAACCATTGGCAGGGATGGAGACCTCAAGATTGCAGACCTCAAGAGGACAATCAGGGAGAAGAGCGGTCCCAGAGAGAAAAAGGCCTAGGGGGTTTTCTTTCTTTGCAATTGGCACTGTGTCTTCATTGCATGTTGTCAGGCAAGATCAACAGACAGCCTCACCTCTGCTGGAGAGAAGTCGGACAAGGTTCGTTTGGTGCCCTTGTTTTGCAAATGTCCAGCTTTGGTGCTCTGCAGGTGGTCACTTCACCAGAACCAGCCGAGAAGGCAACCAAGGCAGAAGAGCAGGTTCTTCGTTCACGCCTGTTCCACCATTGTCATTTCCATTTGGGAGTTTATTTTGGCATTCAATGAATACGGATTCGATAGAATATCAAATGTCTGGAGGTGCCTTCGAATCCAGTTGCCTCGGAGCCAGCTGACCAGATGATGTTGACCAGTGCAGAGGAGAAGGTCTGTTTTTGGTGTTCCCTTTAATGTGATTACTCAGCTATTGTGCTCTGGAGGTGCCCTCAGAATCAGCTCCCTCAAAGCCAGCTGGCAAGATGACCAGTGCAGAGGAGAAGGTTCTTTGTGGTATTCCCATTAATTTGATTTGCCAAGCTATCGTGTTTGGAGGTGCATTTGAATTCAGCTGCCTCCAAGCCAGCTGACAAGACCACCACTGCAGAGAAGTCGGAGGAGGTTCTTTTGATGTCCCCCTTGATTTCCCCAGCTATTGTGCTCTGGAGGTGCTTGCAGTTGAGGCCAAGGCCAAGGCTGCAGTGTCCAAGTCAAGTTCATCCTCCTCCTCAAGCTCATCATCATCATCCAACAGCAGCAGTGAGGACTGATATGCATTTGCAAGATTAACATTGAAGCAGCCAAATCCCGATCATTGGTGGTTTTTCCCGGTCAATGCCTGGTTTTTCCCGATCGTTGCTTGGTTTTTCCCGATCATTGCCTGGCAATTCCCGGTCAATGAATTGATGCCAGTGTCCACTTCAATGCAGGATGAACAGGATGAACGCAAAAAGCAGGTCAGGACCTAAAAGAAAGGGAGTTGGCTTTTCACTTTGCTGTTCCAGAACAGTTTTGTTTCTCTCACACACTAGGTGCCTCCGGTGCCTGCAGCACCGGGTCATGAAACCTGTGGAGACAGAGTGGTTTTGGAAAAGAAGGTCAGGATCTCAAACAAAGGAGGTTCCAGAAAAGCATTGTTGTCTCAGGAACGCTCACCATCACCATCCCCAGTGTTATCGTCATCATCGTCCAGTGAGAGCAACAGCTCTGATGAGGCGCAGGTATTTTGTTGATGTTGGTTCAAACCTCATACATTTGCTCCCTCACTGGTTTGATTTGGGACACAGGTCCAAAGTGGACAATCTGCAACCTAGCTGACTTTGTGGATGCGTCAGGACATGGAAAGCAAGAAAGAGCCTAAGAAAAAGAAGGCCTTTGGACACATATTAATATGCGACCTTGTTGTTGCAATAATATCTCCAGCCAACAAAAACCTCATAATTAACACCCAGTCCTGTGTAGGCCACGGCTTCTGGTGAAAGTGGACCCAAAGCACCTCAGCAGGAGAAGGAGCCAGCGGTTGATTCCAGTACAAACGCAGTGGACTTTACTGAACTTAATTACAATCCAGTCTTCAGGACAAGCATTGCCATGTTCCACTTCAGTCTAAATGGTACAAAGCCGTCTGCAATGGCGTGAAGCACCATGAATTGAGATCTTGGTCACCATTTTGGAAGCCAAGGCTTTCAAATGCAACACATCTTGTCTTCACCCATGGCCACTTTCCTGAATGTTATTGTTGGGGACATCGTTGGCAGTCCTTTGCACAAATATTTGCACAAATATTGGTGTAGTAAGCCCGTCAATCCTGGAACTCTCAGGCTATAGCCTCAAAAGTAGATTGCCTCCATTGCGGATCATTGGCATGAAAATTGCCCCAAGAGCAGAAGCCTTGGTGCATGGTGTGCAACCGGATGAACTTGACCACTTGTTCAAGAACTGGGACCAGATCGTAATTGTCGAGTTTGAGCCATATCACCGTCAACAGGAACCATGAATCAAAACCCAATGACATATGATGCTTGTGTTGAGTTTACAAACATCAGAAACTGTCTACACCTGTCTCCAGGAGGATTCAAGCCGGTCCATGAAGCCTCCGCAGGTTCCATAATGCTGTACCTGTGTTTACGCACTCAAGCTGTTTTGGCTTCCTTTTTAAATCTTCGATGGTGTGATATCCAGGATCCCCATGTGAAGCTGCAGTGGATCCACCCGGATGAAGTGGATACTTTGCCTATGGATGAGGCTGGCCTGCCATGGACATCTATACTTCTCAGGGAATTCTAACTGTGGCCAAGTAATGGTTTTCCGTGTCAGACACCCCAAAACCCACACATAAACATTACGTTGTAAATTTTAGTAGTGGATCATGCTGGCCATGGTTGAGCTTCCGTGCAAGATCCGGATATCAAGCCAGCTGATCAAGACCTGGCCAGTGCAAACAAGTCGGAGCCCAAACATGAACTTACACAACTTACACTCTCTCCATCCACTGCCAAAAAGGGTGTGAAATCAACTTTTCAGGACAGTCTGCATTGATGTTCTATTGTCTACCAGTGTAGGGAGGTTTTGATTTTTGATTTCCTGTTGAATTTACATTTGGCTTGCAGCATTTGTCGAGCTGCAGGACCACAAGCCACTAGAAAAGGAAGCTGCAGCTCTGACACCACAAGAGGAAGCTGCTGCTGCAAAAGCAGCCTTGGAGTTGTACCGCACCAAGGAGGATTCTGAAAAAGACATCCTGCAGGTACGCAGTTTGTTGCAACGATTGAAACGCTTTCGCGGCTGTGTGTTTTGCTTTTGCCGACCCACTTCAAGGGGAATCATTTTCGCCACATCTTCGTGAACCTTTCGCCAACCTTTCGCCTGGCTATCCTGCCAATCCTCAAGTTACACTTAGAGCTACCACGCTGCTCGCCCTCATCCTAATCCTCATCCTCACCTCATCCTCATCATCCTCATCCAGATTGCTTCACCGCAACAAAGTCAAGTGGGATATGGTGGAGCTCTTTCACATCGCGGGCCACCGGAGGAGCTCTCATTCGAGCGTAGTCAGCAGTCATTTGTCGTCGTAGTAGTAGTAGTAGTAGTAGCAGTAGTGGTAGTAGTAGTCGTAGTCGTAGTCGTAGTAGTAGCAGTAGCAGTAGCAGTAGCAGTAGCAGTAGTAGTAGTAGTAGTAGTAGTAGTAGTGGGCAAAAGGACCCTCTTCCCCTCTGGGCTGGCCCAAAGATTGGGTGGTGCGAATCCCCCCTGGTCAATTCTCATTTTGAGAACGCATTTCACCTCCCAACTTCCAAGACCTATTTTGCACAGGAATTTCATTGCCTTTCACCCTGTCTTCACATCTGACCAACCAGATTCCGATCCTATGAATCCGATCCGAACAACACCCTGTTTTCACAGGCTTGTCATGGGCTTTTCATGTCCTTATCATTGCCTTTTCAAGCTTCCAGCTCCTGTTTTGCTAAATAATCGATTAAACCAATGCGTTACTAAAGAACTGGTTAAACTGGTGCGTTGACCCACCGGGTTTGGTCAGAACCTGTTTGCAAACGCAGGCTCAATCTCGAGTCAGAGAACTACACCGGGAGGAGGAGGCAAGGCAAGTTCAAGAGAAACAAGAAAAAAAGATATGCAGAAACTGAAGAGGTTGAAAGCTACTGAACTGGAAGAACACTCAGAGAGTGGGGGCAAATCTGTTGTGGCTCCAAAAGAAAGCAAGAGTGGAAATCATGGTGATCATGAGGGGGAAAAGCCGCCTGAGAACCCTCCCAAGAAAGCTCGGGAAACGGCCTTTGCGTCTCCTGAGCTGGAAGCGTTTTTCGCCTCGCCTGCAACGACTGCTACGGATGTGCAGAACCCAGGAATCAAGTTTGTATTGATTTGATTGACTTCTGAAGTGAACTCAGCAGACTCAGCTACTTGATCAACCAACAGAAGGTGCTGGCCAAGCTCGAGGACCTTGAGGGCCTTGTGATCCCAAAAAACCTGATGGAGTCTAACAGGAAGTCGTTCACTATCCAAGCGCCTGCCGACTTGGGGACGGCTATTAAGAGCATAGAGATCAGGTTCTGGCCGTATCTCAGAGCATTAACTTTCATCGTTGCAGTTTTTTCTTGAAGAAGGGCTTAGATTAGTTCTGCGCCGGGCTGAGACACAATGCTGGGTTCTATGTCAAGAAGGTTGTCCACAACAAAGACGACAAGGACATCAGCATCGACAAATCAGGTGGCTGTTCATTGTCAATGCGGAAGTACGGGATTGTCGATGGGTGGCTTGCCTGTGTTAAATATCAAGAAGAGAAAGGACAGCCAAAACATTTCTGCAATCCCTTCTGACCCACTTCACCCAGCAACCTCTTTCGCTAACCCTCTTGCCTAATCTGCAACCACTGCTTTCGCCACATCTTCGCTAACCTTTTGCTTGGATATCAGGAATCTTTGGATGACATGCTTTGTACTGAAAAGCTTTTCCCAACCAATTTGCAACATTTTCTGCACTTTTCTCCAAACAGTTTACTGTCAGGGTTTTTCTGTTCAATGTTAGCCAAGGTGGGCAAGGTCACGTCTCCTTGCAGGGTGGACAACCGTACCACAGGCCGCATGAACTGTACTGTGCAGCTGTAGCCCCAGAAAAAGCAAAACGTGGCCTTGAGTTCAGACATGTGCCCATGCAAAACAAATGGCAATCAGTGTTGCAACAAGGAAACATGCATAAATGTTCAGCAAATGTTTGATAATTGCATGATTTTGCATGCTTTGCGTTTGAGAGAAAAGGCTGGCTCAAAGGGATCTTGGATATTTGCAAACTGGTTTGGAATGGGGTCAACGCCACACCCACTTCAACTCACCCGCAGCCAAGCTTCATGCTTGATTGCTCTAGGGGCTCCAATGGTACTGCCCGAAACCCAGACCAAGCCTTCGAAATCTCCAATTCTTTCGATGAAGCCTTAAGCTTCACCTCAGGCTACATGCAGTGGACTTCATTGTGCAGAACACGTGTCCAAACGCAGTCTCTTCACGTCGTGTCGTGGTCTCAGTGCTTTCTACTAGACTTACTAGGGTGCCTTGAAGACATGGATTCTGTTGGCCTCTCACTAAGAACATGAAAGTTTATGAAGTCTACAGTGGCACAAGCCGCATCCACCAAGCAGCACGTCTAAATCTCAGGTGAATCAAGAACAGTTCATGCATGTACAACCATAGAATTGAGTTTAGGTGAGCGGGGACTGATGAGGTGTGGCTTTTGTTGCTGGTGTTACAACACTATGTTGCCTTCTCATGATTTGCATTGGCCTTGCCAGTGACTACTACGACATTCTTCACCGTCCATCTGAAAACAACATAGAAACTGTGCCCTCAACTCAGATCTTGAGAGTTTCTGGTGGAAGCTTGAGAGTTTCTGGTGGATAAACATTGTTGGTTTCCTAAGGCCAGGTTAGGGAGTCCTCAGACTCCAGAGCGGATCCTTGTTGTGGCTTGGAGTTCCTTGCTCGCTCCTGATATTCATCTCTCTTGGAACAAGCCAACGAGGCATCGGAGGATATTCAATGTGGGGCAACACCTCACTAGAAAGTGTCCGCAAAAGCAATGTTCACCTGGCCAGAGCAGCCCTTTGCATACTCCTATGCATGGCACGCCAATGTTGGTGGACTGTGGAGCAGCCTGGGACATCAAGATTGCCTCGGATTCCATTCTATGAGGGCTTGCTCCAGGATGACTTGATCCCAACTATCCTCCAAAGGTTGTCTGGCTCTCAGGGGTTGTTGCATCATGCATCCATTTGCAACCCATGAGGCCATTGCTACTACTAGTAGGTGCCTTCAAGGTTGCTGGAGGTCCATATTGCTAGTAGGTCCATCGCTTGACCTGCTGGGTTGCAGCTGCAGTTGGATGGGAGCGTTCCCTGGGGCAATATCACCAAAGAGGACGATGATTTTTGGGACATGGTTAGGGCCTAAGTGTGGTGTTTGAAGTGTATTCAGTGCAATGCAATTGACCATAGACAATGTTTTTGTAAACAACAGTAATTCCGAAAGGCCCGCAATCAACAAGTTTGCGAACAAGCTCACAAAGAAGCGTCGGCAAGCTCTCAAGGACAGGGCAGGGTAATCGAAGCACAGGACCGTCATGATTTTTCTAGGACTTGCAAGCAAAGCGTAAGATCCAGATTGTGAAGCGCAGTCGCAAGAATGGGAAAGTGTTGGCAGCTCAGTTCGCGTTCGCACATTTGCAAAACGTTTTGTCATACTAGCTATTCCTGAGGTCAGGTGGCAAGCACCTAAAGTCTACAGGTCCTTATCCAAAGCCATTTGCGCGACGTATAATCTCCGAGCACTTGAAGGTCAAACATGTCATGGCCTGAGTTGGGAAGTCTCAATGGTAGTTTCTTGGACATTTGTTGCTGTGTGAATGAGTTGGAAAAAGCTTGTCTCCTACCCAGCATTAAGGATATCCCAAATGGCAAGAAGTTGAACACATCACAAGTGCAGAAGGCTGGTCACCTGGAGTCTTTGCAAACCACTCTCCCAGTTTTCAAACCACTAGCCAGGGCCCAGCTGTTGACTGGAACCATGCTGATCTGCGCGACCTAGAGATGTTTCTTGCGGACCGCATCCATGAAGGCACCTTCAAGCCTGTGTTCCCTTTTGTGCGGAAGTTTTCGTCGTCGGGGGCATCTGGGGTTCGTGCCAATGCAAAGCAGAGGCAGTAGCTCCAAGCCACCTTGCAACATAGCATGGGGCAAGTCAACGCAGACAAAAGCTGTTTCGACAATTCTGGATTGAATGAGGAAATGTGTTCGCTGAACATGACTATTCCCAAGACTGTTCCCAGCAATCTTTGCTCCAGTGCTTATACAAATTCATTTGTTGTGGTGGTCAGTGGTTCACTGAATGCACTGAATGCGTTTCATGGGGTGACTGGAACAAAAGCAGTCATTTGGTGCCCCTGCAGGCCACAGATTGCACCTGAAGTGTTGTTTGCAGCACTTGGCTAAAAACAGCAAAAACTAGCAAAAACCA